CAGTCTTGCTTTTGTATTGTGTCCCTCTTATCAGATACAATTTATCTTACTCACTCTCTCTCTCTCTCCCCCTCTCTCTTACACATCCCCTCAGGCTCAATTTTGTAAACTCATACAGCAGAGCAAGAGTTAAACCAAGAGAGTGACTCAAACACTGCTCACTGTTCTGATCACTATTCAAGCTGAGAATGTCAGTCTCACTACACATATTTGCTTTCTAATCAATTGTATTCATGTGCTAGCGTTGCCTTTAGGTGTCCTGAGAGTGCACGGCAAATTTTGACCTCACTTCCCGTCTGTGCGCCGGGTCGAGGTTCAGCAGAAGGGAAGGAATTTTTTCCAGGTTATTGTTTTCCTCTCCTCGCACAAAGCTTCCAGGTAAAGAGTGAGTACAATATGGGTCTTATATAAGCCAGTGACAGACAGGAGGATGTTACAGAGGAGGGGGAGAGAGGAAGGAAGGAAGAGAAAGGGGGGGGGTACTCAAGGCCACGCAGGCGAGCTGACTGCCAGGCAGACTGTCTAAATCAGTGTGCTCTCTGTGCCTTTCACACACTCACAATCAGTAAAGAGGAAACTCATAACTGCATTCCTTCCCACTGATCTGAGAGGTGGCTGATACGAAGGGCAAAGTGCTACCGAGAGAAATTAAGTGAGAGCTGCTGTTGTTCTAAATGAATTGTCCCATTCACCTTCATTTCCCCACAGGATAATAGCTCACCATGTGTACTTTATACCAACGCCCTGCCACACATTACACACACACCTGGAAGCTGAATTTGGGCAGGCACACAATCAAACAGGCTTTAAACAGTGTCTATCACTACTGTGCAAGTTATTAAAACATGTCCTGCTTCACATATTGCATAAGCAATAGTTGTAAGAGCAAACAAGAGGCCTACAGCCATGTGCAAACATTGGCTGTGCCTGTCAAATGTCAAAGACCGAACATGTCAGGGAAGTCTGAGAGGAAGCATCAGAACTGCTGCGTATTGCAGACGCAATTACTATTATGACTAGGCTAGACAGTTCCACTGGGAAAAGTGTAATATCATAATCTATAGCTTGTTTTACGGTACAATCTGAGATCCAAATGTACATGAAAGGATAGCTCCACCAAAATTCAAAATACAAGTTTAATTGGAAGCAGATATAAAAGTCTATGAATAGACAAACTGTTAAGTGTAGAAGTGTGTCTTGAGCAAGGTAATTATAGTTCACTAAATAAAAATAGGTGATAAAACACATACAAACTAGAAAACAATATTGTGCACTTAAATGAATGAAATCTGTTAACAAGTACAAGGAGGTATTAATGCAGATATTTATTGAGACTGGGGTGTCTACATGGCTGTGAGTCGGTGTGTTTGTACTGTAATACCCATCCTGAACTGCTTCAATCTGGCCCATGACAAATACCCATTCTTAAAACATTTTTAAACAATAAACTTGAACCAAAACAAGCAACCCCACTCTGTAAACAATTAAAAGATGAAAACAAAAACAAATGAAAACACAAAACTGTAACAGCTCTGGTCTTGAGAAGAGCCTTTGCACAATTAGGGTGTCCAAAGTCTTGGGTCTTGGGACCACAACCAGTGCCCTGTGGATGGAGCACACAGTTCACCCCAGATCATAAGGGTGGAAATATACAGAGAGTACACACGGACGTCTCTCTTTTTTACACAATACCACCTTCCTTCACCATCACAGAGTGGAAAAACAACAGCTTTTCCATATTATTTTCTCCATGTGAGCGGAACAGCTCGCACTATACACGCATAACTGCAACTCAGACATATTTTTACACTTCATGTCTATTTTCTTCTGATTTATGCATGTGACTATAGTCTCTGCCAAAACACCTACTCTCAATACTGCACCTGAACACATCCTGTGTAGACTCAGACACTCGGCTAGTGTGCTGCTTTTGCTACATGGGCTATGTAAACAAATCAATTCGACAATTTGCTTTTCTTTATCGGATATCAGAGTAAATTGATGAGACGTGAAAAGATCTCAGACCTCACAGGCTGTGGGAAACTGTAACAGATGTGTTTCACCCTGTTATAGACCAAACTATTAATCAAGAAGAAGACTGGCAGATTAATGTTAGTGAAATAATAAATAACAGAGCTGCAGTGACAAGTCCATTAATGGATCAGTCAACTGTCTGAAAACTAATCAGCAACTATTTTGATAACTTTTCAAGCAGAACTGCCTGATATGCTGCTTGATCTTGTCTAGCATTAAACTGAATACCTTTGAGTTCTGGACTGTCAGTTGGACAAAACCAGACATTGACTACATCACCTTGGGCTCTAGGAAATTGTGACTGGCTGGTTTTCTCAGTTTTTTTCATGTTTTATAGACCAAATGATTCTTCAAGAACATCATCTACAGATGAATCGAAAATGAACACAATTGTTAGTTGCAGCCCGGGGGGAGTGTGGGGGACTTCCACATTAAATCAGCTTCACAATGCAAACAGAACATATCTCTCATTCTGGTGTTTGCCATTTCTGTCTGTGCAGGTCTTGGTTCAGATGAGATGTGACAAATGCATAATACTGAACAATTACTGTAATATAATTATAATGTAATTATAATTATTATTATTACTCCAACATTTTTGGAAATTGGAAAACACGAGACAGCTATTTATTATGGAACTGATTGTATTGTCCTGTTTTATGGAGTATATTTACTGTTCTGTCATTGTTTTTGTTTACCTGCCTAGGGACAACAGAAGCAAATTAGCTGTTGGCTAACACTGGCACAATTACTGTTAATTGTTTAAAAGTAATTTAAGTAATAAAATAAAGAAACAAATAAAAGGTATAACTGTAGTGATATAGAATGATTATGCCTCAGTGCTCAGTTTCAGACAGTTGTCATACCTGTGATAATATTATCTTATCCAAAATGACATCAAGTACAAGGATAAATACCACTTTATAGGACCAAACTAGGTTACTGTTACAAATGAATTCAATTTTAAGCACCAGATTAACCTTCCTAGGTAAACTGACCTTCATCAGTTAAGTTAAAACTAGGGTGGGAAACACACACACACACACACACACACACACACACACACACAAATATTGGTTGAGGCCAGTGAGGTTAATATTCAATCAGACATTCTGGCACATGTCCAGTCTTTGTTAAGGTGGTTCAATAGAGTACTGCAGTGTCGCCGGCTAATAAAACAGAGTAGTAAGTGGGACTTCCTGGTGGCCTAGGGGGTTTAAGAAGTCGTCTGTGTAGTCACAATGTCCCCAGTCCACGTCTAGTTTGTTGCACGTCACCCCTGCTCTCCCTTTCCCTAAATGTTCTTCCTCCTCTGTACTATCTGATATCAAAATACATTTTAAAACATCACCCAAAAAACAACAAGCTTGAAGACACAGAGGCAGACGAAGCGCTGGCATTTCCAACCACTTTGAACTACAAAGATATATAAATAAGAACCCAGTTAGTGGATTGTAGTCGATCAACCGGTAGCGGGCTGCATGTAGCCTCAGCTACGTTCAGAGAAAGCAAACACAAAAGGTGAGGGGCTCAGACATGTTCAAACACCGCTGAGATATCCTCCGCCGCGAGCCACCTGAGGAAAGGCATACCAAAGAATAGTACAATACGTTACAAACTGGAACCTAGAAAATGACACTAGCCCAGAAGCCTGTTTTGGTGTTTGGGTTGTCGTATGGACTGACTGTCGGATACTTTAACGTCCGAGATTGAGACCATTTTTCTCCGGGGTCCACATTTGTAAGAACTCTCCGGCTTGACGTCCGATTATCTTGGGTTGTTTTTAATATTGTCTTAGAGGTTTAAGTATAGTGTCAGTTTCACATCTCTCCTACACCCTTTCTGCGCTGCATCACTGCAGTGTTCAATACTAAGCGTGCATGCAAAGCAGTTTAGTGCTAAGCAGTTCTCCTTACTTTGAATGACAAAAACCACAGGCTGCAACCATACACATCTGAAGACGACAGCGAGGGCGAGCTTAAAACCTGTTTTACAACATAGCACTGTTCTAGAACGAGTACTACTGCGCACAAACCACAGACTGCACACACAGCGAGGTGAGGTGGCTTACTCATGGTACAGAAGGCTTGCAAATATAAACACAAAGATCAGAGCATTTCCTCTACAGTCAGTCAGCATGACCATCAGAACAGTCAGCATCACCCACTCCAGGTGGGGTTGTCTTTTAACTCGTGCAAACAGCATCAAACATAGTAACTTTCAACTTTGGCAGAGAAATGCCACAGCATGTATGATGCTGTCAGCCTGAAGAGAACTGGACCCCCTTGAGATGCCCTGTTGTGAGGATACAGGATGGGGTCCCTGGGTGCACAGGAAAACAGAGCCGTGCTCAGTTTTGGTCCAGTGTGAAGTGGAGACAAACAGAGCATTATTTACATTAGGGTGTGGGAACCTGTCATGGAAGGAATGTATGTCACGACACAAAGTGTGCATGATAAAACAAAATGTCTTTGTAAAAAAAAAAAAAAAAGGGAAGTTCAGCTGTGCTATCAGAAGAAGCTAACTTCATGTCTGGAGTTTCCTGTCTGTGGAGTTATTTCGACACATATAAAAAAAAAACCTGTAAAGAATCCTAACTTTTGATCATAGACTAGAATAAACGGGGGGATTTCAAGCGACTAAATTAGTTTCAGGACGCTAAGTGTTTCTGCAGAGGCCATGTTGACATCAGCCTTGAGGTAGCTCGTGTTAACATTAGCTAGAAAAGAAGCCAAATCCAGGGATGGAGGTGGCGTTATCCAGTCAACCAGACAGCTAGCGGGCTAGGCTAACCAGCTAGCTCACTGGCTCGCTAACTTTAACTCCCCGCTGGCAAAAAAGGCTCCCAGCATGGATAATGTCACTCGGCTTAAAGCCGTACGTGTGTTCCGACTCGCTTTGAGCGTTGGGTCGAAAAGAAGGAGCAGTTAACGTGCGAACACAAGCGCCACATCATGGAAACTCACCCATTCCCGTCCTTCGCACCGCCTCGCTATCAAACGCTGGGAATCTCTTATCCAGCAGCTTCACCGTTAGCTAGCTGCTAGCCAGGTAGACGCGTATAATCAACCGCAAACTGTTGTTGTGTTGTTGTTGTTTTTTTTCCTTCCTTTTTTTTCGGGTTGTTTTTGTCGATTCACCGCCGAAAAAGAAGTGAAGTGGGCCGTATATCCATTCGCCCTTGCCCCAGCAGCGGCAGCAGCAGCAGCAGCCTCCCGAGTTCTCTCTTGGTGGTGCTTCAAGATTATTGTGCAGGAAGTTAACCAGGAGTCTCCACCTTTCTTGGACTTGCCTCCACGGGTTGCTGCTGCCTGCTGCCTGCTGCCTGCTGCCTGCTGGCCGCCTGCTGCCTGCTGCTGCCACCAAAATACAAAATAGCAGGAAACTTCGCGATGTTTGAGGCCGGACAGTCCCGCGAGAGGAATGTTTAATGGAATGTGCCCCCCCTCGTCGTGTTACCGGTACAGTAAGTGCTGTGTGCACGTGCGTGTGCGTGTCTGCGCGAGGGAGACTTTAATTGAATTCACGCGCTCCAGCTCCTCCCAGTTATTGTGACATCCGCGGTCGGGGTTTGTAAGGCTCCAGGAATTCTCTGGGAAACAGCTGCAGCCTCAGTGGAAGAACACAGCAGACCGACAGTGATACAGTGCGCGCTCATGTGAGCTGATAAGATAAGTGTTGGGTTCAGACTGCTTCTGTGTGCTGCACCTTGTGTTGTTTGAGGAGAATTTCAAACTCGATTCAAGTCAGTTGATTTAAAAAAAAAAAAAAGGAAGAACTTTATTGGAGCTCTTGAATGCATTATTGCCCATTAACATGCAAACATTAAAAGTTTACCGGACACCCCCCCCACACACACACACACACACACAATTAAAACTTCAAGTAAAATAAAAACTGCATTTAATCTGCTCCAAAGCAAAGTGTCTTAACACACCCATCAATAAAACAATATAGATAGGAGGAAATAAGACAAGATAAGATTGTATGTTACTACAGACCCAAAGTCAACCAGGGTGATTGTGTGTTATACCTTGTAGGACAATGACAATATGTGTGTTTTAAAGCTGCAGTAGGTTTATCATATTCACTGAAACTCTCACTATATCCTAACAGTAGCACATGAGACAGATCACCTGTGAAACAATCAGGTTCCTCTGACTCCTCCTGGCTTTCCTAATGGCATTTGCAAGAATCCTACTGTGAAGCATGTATAATAGTGGAATAGAATAATATGATATAGTAGTACACTGGTGTAAAAATCAGAAGGAAGTAGAGTGCAGGTTTATAGTGAACTGAGTGGTACGTTGGTGAGTGTCTGTCGTGGTTTGTTGGTCAGGGTGAGAATCAGCGCTGTCACACCTGCCACCAACACAAAGCATGTTATCTGTTCTCACGTGCTGAAAGGCTGGGAAGCTGTCACATGCATTTATTTCATTCAAAATTCTGGCTCCGTCACAGTGCTGGGAGGTGCTGCTCCCCCGCCCTTCTAATTTCCCTCCTCTTTGTTTTCTTTTTCTCTCTCTCACACTGTGTTTGTGATTTAAATCCATTCTGATAGAATGACTTTTGGCAGTGTCATATTAATAGTTTAGCATCAAAGGGCACAATAGGCTCTTTCCCCGTCTGCTGAATGACAACATGCTATTTGGAAAATACACACCACACCCCAAACAGAGCTATTGAAGTGGGAAAAAAAGGCTTTTGCATAAAACAAGATAAGCCTGTGTGAAAATGTGTTTTATCTTCAAATCCTGTGCACGAATATACAACATTTTGGACTGTGATGAAGGGGTTTTCAATGCCCTTAAATGCTTTTTTTGTGTTAAACCTTCTTAGTCTTTGCTTCCCAACAGGTTTATCCAAGAAAATTCAATTTCTCCTTATTAGGATTTCAGATTTTGACGTACATATGATATTTGTAAACCACACAGACAGAAATAGCTTGGGTTGGCACTGTGACGAGGACCTTCCTGCTGTGGCGTTACATAAAAAGCGAGTCAGCGCTGAGCAGTAGGCACGCTGCCCGCTGTCAATTACTCAGCTTATCTCTCCAACGCCACAGAATGAAGTGTTAAAAAAGGAAGTAGTTGAGGGCAAACTCACCCTGGTGGGACCCATTTATGCTGAATGTCAACAATCTTTCAAAAACATAAATTCTATGCAAATCAGTTCGACCGCACAAGTACCACAAACACACACACACACACACACACACACACACACACACACAGAGCATGGTTCATTGTTTGCCAGTTTGAATGACATGCAGTGGAAGCCCGGCTGTCCAAGTGGATTATGGGAACCACGACAGCCCTCATTTGCTCTCATTAATTCAAACATCTGTGCTTTGTTTTGGCAGCCCATTTAATCAGTTTATGCATATATAAAGTTTGGAGATCACTAGATGCACATTTCCTTTATATAATTAACACATTTAGCTTAGTAAAGACAGCATGTATCACGTGTACAGCTACACTTTATTTTATGGGTCTGTAACGTCAGAATCATCTCAAGAATTTACCAGAAGTTTGCTGGAAGGAATTAAACTGACACTACACTTGAGAAAAACAGAGATAGTTCTCTTAGTTTCTAATTAATTAATCCCAATTAACTGCTAAGCTAACCCACAGAGCTCTTTAGTCTGAGTGCAGCAAGTCGGCTGACATGTAAAAATGTGAAATTTGAATACAGCAAACATAAAATTCATATATATGACTACTGCAGTTGGTAATGCTTTACTTTATTACTATTTTTATTGCAGGTTATTGTTGGATACAGTCCATATTAGTACATAGAAACAATCTTGTTTGTCTATTTTCTTTCAATAACAACATCACAGCAAAACATTTTACTTTATGATACCATAAATACATGTAGTTATGCTATGTAGTTTATTGAAAATTGCAAAGAGTAGTACACCCACATACATGTTAATTCCTTATTATAGAGGAAACTCTACTAATAAGTTATAAGTATATGCAACAGGGAGGTCTAGTGTGTAGCATCTAATGGCATCTGCTGATTGATAGTTGCAGATTGCAACTCTCTCGCTTTACCCTCCCCTATAAAGCTTACATAAGACATATTCCATACATGTCACAGCAGCAGTTGTTTCTGTGTAAAAAGCTATTATCAAATCAACGAGACGCTGAGACCTTACAGCAACACCTCCAATGCAGTTCCTGTAAGAGTCAGTAGAATGTTTGCACTTAACTGTCCACTGGCTGTCTGAAAAAAGACAAATCACATGAATATGCGAGGAGCAGTCACTAGTTTGATGCATGCTTGCCTGCAATGACATATTACATAGTACATAAGTGGGTAAAACCCAGGTTTATATAATACATTCATGCTGTAGCGTACTGACCACCATCCTGTCTTACTGCATCATCCACAGCAACTGTGAGGCCAACTGTTAAAAAAAACCACCTGTTGCTAAGTAACCTGGCTCCACTGTGTAATCTAGAGCCACCTTGTGGGTGAAATGTGAAACTGCAAACAACCCCACCTGTCAGCTCACATATCAGCCTGCTTTATATCCTGTATGTAACAGCTTGCAGTCTGTCAGAGCTGTAGTCTACATGCTTTCTACAGAAGCACAAGTCAGACCAGCAAACAGGAGTGAACACTGTTGATGTTTCTTATCAAAGTAGGATAAGTACTCGTAAGGATAAGTATAGCAATATAAGCTATAGAATTAATATGAGCTGAAATGACCCCGGGAAAAAAGCTGGTATATTAGATTTTTATATACACGATATGCAGGTCTACACAAACACCATGTTTTTTTTTAGGCTAGAGGAACACCTGATGTTATTCTTTCATACTTACCTTATCTCTTTCAGCCTTCCTGTGTACTCACAGCATCCAGACATGTACTGTACATCTTTACTGTAAGGTGTAGACTCACTCACTTGTATTTGCTGGTTTCAATACAGCTGTCCCATAACTTGATATCCTCATGGGCAGGGGAGGATCTAGATAGATAGATAGATAGAAATACTTTATTTATCCCCGAAGGGAAATTATAATGTTATAGCAGCTGATTAAGAGTCAATTATTATTAGAAAGTCTTATTGCAGTGGGGAGGAATGATTTTCTGTATCGTTCCTTAGAGCAGCGGGGATGAATGAGTCTGTTGCTGAAGCTGCTCTTTAGCTTGTCCAGTGTTGTGTGGAGGGGGTGGGAGGGATTGCCCATGATTGCCAGCAGTTGTGCCAGCATCCTCTCCTCCACCACCTCCACCAGGGTGACAAGCTCAGAGCCAACAACAGACTCTGCCTTCTTAATGAGTTTGTTCAGTCTGTTTGCGTCCTTTGCCTTGATGCCCGCACCCCAGGACACCGAAGCAAAGAAGATGGTGCTCGCCACAACAGACTGATAAAACATCCTGTTGCAGACATTGAAGGACCTGAGCCTCCTCAGGGAGTAAAGCCGGCTCAGGCCCTTCTTGTAGATGGCCTCTGTGTTAGTGGACCAGTCCAGTTTGTTGTCCAGTGTGACACCTAAGCACTGACACCATATCCACATCTGTCCCACCGATGCTGACAGGAGAGGGCAGGGGCTTGTTCCTCCTGAAGTCCACCACCATCTCTTTGTCTTTGCCACGTTCAGTTGCAGGTGGTTCTCCCCACACCACTTCACAAAGCCATCCACCAGGTCCCTGTACTCAGCCTCCCTTCTGCTCTCCAGACACCCCACAATAGCACATTACTTAAAGTCTGCACTGTAGGTGGTGAAGAGGAAGGGAGACAGTACAGTTCCCTGGGGGGCCCCCATGTTACTAATCAGATGGTCAGACACACAGTTCTTTAATCTTACAAACTGCGGTCTGCCTGTCAGATAGTCATCAACCCATGTGATGAGGGGAGCAGCCACCTGCATGTTCTCCAGTTTGGCCTTCAGCAGTCTGGGCTGGATGGTGTTGAAAGCACTGGAGAAGTCGAAGAACATGATGGGGACTGAGGTGTCAGGTCTGTCCAGGGAGGAATAGGACTTCTGCAACAGGTAGATGATTGCATCATCAACCCCCACATGGGGCTGATATGCGAACTGCAGGGGGTCTTGCGATGGGCACACTAATGGTCTGAGGTATGCCAAGACCAGTCTCCCCATGACCTTCATGATGTGAGAGGTCAGTGCTACCGGCCTGTAGTCCTCTAGTGTCACAGGACGTCCTTTTTTGGGTACTGGGACCAGGCAGGATGTTTTCCAGAGCACTGGCACTCTCTGAAGGTGTAGACTCAGGTTGAAGAGGTGCTGGAAAACTCCACAGAGCTTGCTGGAACATGCCTTCATTACTCAAGGGCTGATGCAGTCCAGTCCAGCAGCTTTCCTCTGTTTGAGCCTCTCCAGCTCTCTCCTGACTTGGCTGACTGTGATATGAAGTCCAGTCTGGGAGGTGGGGGATGTGGCAGGGTCTGTAGTGGGTGTCAGTAGCAGATTGGGGGGTGGGGATGATGAGGTTGATACAGAGAGGCGTCTGCTGCAGGAGGTGGTAGGGGGCTGTGGGGGCTGTGGGAGTGTCCTGGGGTTGTTGCTCAGAGGAGCAGTAGAGGGGCTGCCAGGGGTGGGGGAGCTGAAGTTAAACCTGTTGAAGAACTGGTTCAACTCGTTGGCTCGTTGTTGATTCCCCTCAGCTGCACCCCCACCTCTCCCCTGAAAGCCGGAGATCTCTCTCATCCGACTCCACACGTCTCTGGTGTTGTTGTTCTCCAGTTTGTCCTCCAGTTTTCTCCTGTATGCGTCCTTACTCCCCCTGATGCTGTGTGATAGATATACTGTATATTCATGAGGTGGCCAGAGGGTGGCAGCAATCACAAACTATCACATATATCAATATTTGCTTGTTAAAAGCCCCCAAATGAAGATATTTGAGATTTAAAAAAAACATGACATTATTGTGGCACTTCGTTGGATAGCAATATCTAAAGGTGGCATTAGAAAATAAATAAATTAACTGTTTTATTTCCAAAATCTTCAAATACATGTCTTTTTCACTAAACTTAAGCCTATTCCAACGTCTAAAACGTGGCCGCCCCTGCTCGTGGGACATGACTGAATGTGAATGATGCCACTTGCACTTAAAAAAACCTTTCATTCACAAAAGTAGCCAAAAGGAAAAATGACCTCAATAGTAGCTATGGTGGAATAGGCTGATACTTTATCTTATTTTATGCTTTATGCTGCTTTTATGCAGCCTCTGAAGCACAACACGCTGATTATAACATTTGCATCCATTTGACTTACATTATTGTGTATATATAATGTCATTTTATCCTCAAAGATCAAAAGGTATGCATAATATGCAGCCATTACTAACACCATGATGGCAGGACTGTCTGACGTGTATGGTGCTGTATTTAAGGTGTAATCACCAGGTTTGTCCAGTAGAGGTCAGGCTAACACTCGTATTGTTTTGATGCATTTTCAATTTGAGCAACAGGTTCTCTCTCTCAGTTGTGTTGACACATTCAAATCAAGAAGGCATCAAATATGTGTCCTGTGCTCATTTATAAAGAAAAACTCATGTGTTTTAAAATTGTAATCTTGATCCCATTTTTTACTATATGTAACAGTAATCTGACTATGTCTTTTTTTTCTTTAACTTTAGTGGATTACAGTTACCCTTTTTTTGTATCCTGATTACATAACTCAGTTACATGTAATCTGTTACTCCCCAAGCCTGAATCTAATATATAATATGATATTTGTATTGGTTCCAGGAAGAAAAGGAAAAAAAATCCACTTTATTGTGAACGCTGTTGTTGTTTTTGGTCAAATTTAAACCATACATGGGCATGGTGATTAAGCTTGGCACTACATTCCTCAGAATCTACCCCTTACCCCACTCTCAAGAGTGTTCCGTGTGGCACCCCCGTACTGAGTAAATTAAGTGTTTTCCCATACGCTGACACAACGCTGCCCGAAGCTAACATTTCCAGCTACCTCTTCAAGCAGGGAAGAAAATCTGTGCCACCCACTGACTCACTGTGACAAGTGGGTTTCTCCATGTAATGAACCTCTCAGCAGATGTAAGTCACAATGTAGCTTTTGCATCAGATGTGAATAAAAATTTCTGAACATGATGTCGAACTTTAGAATCTACCGCTTGTGAATGTTAGTGTAAGCCAGAAAGGCCTGGTGTGTTGGGTTTGAGTTTGGTCTGTTACCAGGAGACTCCACTTGACAGCTGCTTCTGAAAGCCTTTAAAACTCCAACATATTTCCACTGAAGAGCTTCGCTTCGGTTGCCTGAGAGGGAGTCAAGCATTTACTCCAAACACAGTTCACACCCAGACCTCAAAAGGATTCTTCTTTACATGCATCATGGGTGGCAGCTTTGAATTCAGATGTAGCAAAAATGACGCCCATGGAATGGAAATGCAATGCTTCACACTGATGGGTCCCACCAAAACACACAAATGTAAGTGGGTGACAGGCAGATATTAAGATTTTTAAATTATTAACAATGGAGCTTTTATGGAGTACATAGAGACATTTAGAGAGACAAAGAGTGAGTGAGGCAAGTTCTAAACTGTCAGTAACAGTCTGTTAAGGCTTGCAGCATCAATAAACGTCTACGTGTGCATTGAAGTAGTGACTGTTTATACAGAGTGGGAGATTTAAAGAGGCATTAGGAAATGTATGAGTCTTCTAGTGGGGGCATCCATCTTCCTCAGTGCAAACACACCAGCAGGTTTCTGACACACGTGCCTGGGGCCTGTAATGGGTGTAAACTAAACAATGAAGTCAGATTTTCTAAACAGAGCTGAGTTAGCTATGTGATTACAGCAGACCCCCAACAGAGACGGGCTGTGAAGATGAATATATCACAGCAGAAAGCAGCTCAGCTATTTCCTTTTCTGCCTCAGGATGCAAAGTTTACATATTTATAAATATCTCTGAACGGCCATTGTTGAACAGTTGGACGGGGTCAAAAGGAAGTTAAAATTGAATTAGCTGTCTCATTTAAGGTCTGACATTCTCAAACACAATGCTAACAGGCTCACGGTGGTCTCACCTGCAGGAGTAAATGCCACTGAATTAGATGGGGGCTGAAGTATTTCAGGGATGTCCAGTGGAGGATGCATGTCACAGAGTGCTGCAGGAATGAGTCATAAAACCCGGAAATGAGTTCCCTTACCTCGAAGTTCATTGCTCTTTTGCATTGGTTTTTAGTTCCACAAATAAAGTCTGTGGTTAACAGAATTTTCACATTTGGTTCTATGACATAAAATACACCAGTAAATGTGAATTTTGAAGCTTTTACAGGTTTTAAAAAAGGCAGTTGCTAAAAAGTGGCTCAATGAGATTACAGAGGTTGTCTGTGACATTAAACGTCACCACGCCAAACACGAACACTATCTACTCACTATAGTCCACCTTTACAGCCTTGTTGGGTTTATAGTTGCGCTCTTCAAACTATTGTAACTCAAACTTTCCAACTTACAAGATTTAATTACAAATTGGAATTGATGGTGGTTGAAGTCATGCGACCGTGCTGTTACTGTTACGCTTTTCACCTCTGGCGATTGCATTTATGCTTCAAAAATGATAAAAGTGGTGTTCATTTGTGAAAATGTTCTGTAATATCCCAAAATCCAGTGGAAATGTCACATAGGATTTGGCCGAAGGATGCAGGGCGGAGCTAACTTCCTGGTTAACCAATTAAAATACGACATCCCTGCAGCACTCTATTGTGCATAATAATGAAAGCTCAGTTTGAAGGTTTACTACAATCTGGGTCTTGTTTTAATAGCCTTGGCCATCAATCCTTTGGTTCTGATCGCATTGTGCTTACAAAAGTAAGTAAGTAAGTAAAGCAAGTTGTTCTGAGATCTGGGAAAGCAGCAGCAACGCTACAACTTCACAGAGCAAGAAACATGACCAGTAAGATTAACAAACAGCTTGTATACAAGTATCTATCTATGTCAATTATACGATTCGATTTCTTTAAAAAAAAAATTTTGAGTAACCTCAGGGTTTGTTTCCAACCTGTAAGTGCCTTGCCCCGCCTTCTTTTCTTTTAACAAATGTCCCTAAAACTATGAAAACATAAGACCCAAGTTGTAATAAACTGGAATTATCCTTTAAAAGAATTGCACAGCAGTGATTAACATGTTTGCCAAGTGGCATGTGTGTGTGTGTGTGTGTGTGAGGGTGGGCTGCTGTGTTTGTGTGTTGATTGTAGATGGTTGAATGAATGCTTAGAGGACTTGTGTGTGTGAAAGCATGCGTGAAAGCACACTCCCATTAAGTGTTTTTTTCATATATACACACACTTTCTCAAACACATAGCCCAAACCTCTTTTCCCCATAATAGCCTGCTTTTACTTGAGTTCTATATAAAGCAACTTCACCTAGTAACTGCAGTCTGAGGATATGCTTGGCCCTGCAGCCACTCAGGCTGTTTGCCCCACTGAACGTCAGCTCTGCTCTGCAGCATGAGTGAGCAGCCGCTTTGCATATGTGCAATGTGTCCTGTACATCCTGCTCACTGGGGTCAGTCTTTCTATCTATTTTCTCTGTCATACCTCTCTACACTGAGGCCTAATATCCCAGAGAGATTGCCTTCATTCTTAACTTTGAGTGGATTTTCCCTTTGTCTGACCCACTTCTGCTCAGTTCTTCGCCCGCCAGCAAAAGCAAAGCAGCACGTTTCATCCCATTATCCCCCCACCTTCCCCACCCTCGCTGCTCTGTGTCCACTCACTTCCGCTCCACGTGCAGGGCAGATGGTGCTTCAGTCTTTTATCGGCTGCTTCTATTTGCAGTAACGTCTGAGGCCATATGAGCACGCCAGCTTGTGTGTATGCAGACTGACGGGCCAACACACTGTCTGGATATCTCGACAGCAGGACGGTTACTGGATGGATGACAGGTTGACTGCTCTGAACAGATGATCCAAGCCGCTAAAGCCTCTGTGTTTGCTCCACTGACACATATGGGACAGGGGCTGTCCCTTCGTTATCATAATGAAAGACTAGTCCAGTAGAAACCTGGACCAATCACAGGTGGCTGACACTTTGAAGCGGATCGTTGTTTAAGACTGCGAACACCTTCAACAAGTCCTCATATCGACATGGCAAAATAAGTGAGCATTTTCTGTTCTGAGGCTGGGGTTTGGTTAGGTTTGAGCAACTACAGACTACATGGTTAAAGGATCAGTGGCATCTAGCGGTGAAGTTACAGACTGCAAAACTGTGAAAGACTGTATATACAGCCAGAGTCTAGTTTGTCCAATCTGGGACACTGTAGAAACATGGCGGTTCAACATGGCGGACTCCATGGAAGGCGACCCGCAGCGTCTGTAAATAAAAACAAGAAACACATAATTCTTATTTTCAGGTGATTATACACTAATGACACCATTTAATACACAATTTCTACCAATAGTTACACACTGGACCTTAAAAGAAATTGTGGACATTTTGGGAACTATGCTTAAATGCTTTCTTGCTAAGAGGATCAATACAACACGTATTGCATGTTCAGTCTGTCTGTTAAGTTGGAAGAAAGACGTCGTAAGCTTAGCTTAGTATAAATACTGGAAGGAAGGGGAAACTGCTGGCTTGGCTCTGTCCAAAGGATTAAAAAAATCTAAATATATTGCCTTAATGTTTGAGTTTTAAAGGTGATGGTAAGCAGGCTTTGGATAAAACGTGGCTAGTGGTTAACCTTTGCCTCCAGTCTTTAGGCTAAGCTTACTTAACTGGCTGTAGCTTCATATTTAACAGACAGATATGAGAGTCGTGTCATCTAGCGCTTGAGTGTTATTTCCCAAAATGTCGGACTATTCCTTTGTGTTTAGGGAAAGGTTGCCTTCATGGTTAAAGAAATACAATGCTGGCTGTTGGTAGGAGTCAGCTCAGCTCTACAGAGCGTTTTAGCTCCTTTCAACTCGCTGTTTTGGTTTGTAGCTTTTATTGTTCTGGTTCCGTCTCACTTCTCCCTCCTCAACCCCATTTTCTTTCAGCTTTCAGGGGAAAAAGCTCAAATAAATATACTGTACACCACATACCCAGCACCAAATGGCAGGCTGACTAAGTTACTGACCAGCTGGTGAACATAGTGGAGCATACAGCAGCTATAACAAGAGAGTGAATATTGGATTCATCAGGTGGACAAAAACTTCAAATGAATGCTAATGTCGCTCCATCTCTGCTAGGTGTGTAAAAAGGCAGCTATCAAAATGACTGCAGTACCTCAGATGAAATGACAATAGGTAACATAACAAAGGGAAGCTCACTCCATCTGTGTCGCACATCAAAAAATCCCTCTCTGGGATAACAATGCCCTCCTTTGACAGCAGAAATAAAGGTCTGCAGGCCATTTGTAAACCTGAAATTTAAAGCACTGGATCAAAAGGGCTGATAAATTATTCATACACTGAGCATTACTAAGCGCTTTCTGAAAACAGCAAAATACACAGAGAATGGCCTCATGCTGATATGGGGGGAAACAGAATGACAGTTAAGCATAATGGAATGGCTCCATAATGGAAACAAGTCCTGGTCCTGGTCATCCCTGTTCAAGGCCTCCGGTCAGTCAGGCTGCAATTTAGTAATTTAAATAAGTTATCAATTTAAAAAAAGTGAGTTCAATAAATGAAAACATTAAAAACATTGTATTTATTTGCATTGGTTCATATTGTGTGCTGCCCTCTACTGGTCAGGGTTAATTCTGCAGTAAAGCACATTCTTCAGTTGCTGAATGTATTTCTGACTTCTGCCTCGGAGACTATTCGTCTGTAAGTAATATGTGTAAATAATAAGAAAACACATGCCTTTCATTCAGGAATGTCATGTAAGCAACTTTTCTATTGTTTTACTAAAAAGTGCTCTGCTAGCTAGCATACAGCTGTAACTAATACTGTTCAGTGACTGACTTTGTCACTTAGCTGTTGTGGTGAGCTGTATGTTTTATACCATACAGTGCTGCTTTAAGCTTTAGTAGTAATTTGAATTGACATCATTACATATGATTTTGTTCTTTTTTTTCTCTGTTTCAGTTTTACAAACAAAAGCAAAATCCAAAAGTGGAAACATGACTTCAGTAAAATACAAGAAAAGTCAAGCCTTGTGTGTTAACTGGAGAGTGTTAACTGGCTGTCTGACTTTGCACAAGAGTACGTGCTGCAAGGACAGTACAATGACTATAATCATAGGGGCTGACACAGGATAGGAGTTCAAAACAGGGTTTTTATTTGTCTCAAAAATGAGAAAAACGCAGGAAAAATGTGAATGGCCCTATCTAGAGCCAGTGTTTGGTTGTGTGTTCCGTGTCAAAAGTCACTACTGTTAAGGTAGCTGGCAGGCAGCAGAATAAAGCCTTGTTTTGCCATCCAAGTGGGCGTTCCAATGAGGGTGTGACATCACGTGAAAACAATGAATAAAAACATGGCAGTTCAACATGGCGGACCCCGCCAGTAGATGAGGACCCACTCCCTCTAGATAAAATGGCTCACCCTAAGGTAACAAAAACACAACAATTCTTATTTTCAGGTGATTATCTACTAATGAAAGCACACCTATCAATATTATATTCCATTTCTGCCAATAGATCCTCCTAAAAGAAGTAATCAAAACACAAGTTACCTCAAAATACATCAGAAAAATTAAAAAATTTAATTAATTAATTAAAATGAATTAATTAAAATTAAACATATTAACCAAAGCTAATGCTTAGCTAGCAATTAGCGCATAGCTAGCGATTAGCGTTAGTGCTCTTTTCAGTATTAATACAATGAAAGTTGAAGTTGTTCTCTTATTGTGCACAGACAGTGTTTACATTTGGAAAGCCATGTTGCTTTTATGTATGCATCCAGTGGGGCATCACAATAACATTAGGCATAATGTGTTAATTCCACAATAGGAGATATGTTATGTTGTTACCTAACAGTTCTGGTGTAAAAAGCCTGCATATATCGGTATCGGGTGATATCGATATCGGAAATTGAGAGTTGGACAATATCGGAATATTGGATATCGGCAGAAAAGCCAATATCGAGCATCCCTAAAAAATATTAGTTGATTAAACGACAAACAAATGATAAACAGAAAATTAATTGACAATACTCTAATAATTGATTCATCGCTTTAGTCACTTTTCAAATGTGAAATGTTGGGATTTTTTTCATTCTAACGTGAATATGGGGTTTGGGCTGATAGTACAACAAAACAAGTTATCTAAATGAGTCTGTTTTGGCTCTGGGAAATGTGATTTTTCATTATTATTATCATCATAGAAACTAATCTGTAATCAATAATAAAAACAATCAGTAGTTGCACACCTATTTGAGTATCATTTTCACAAATTAAATCAACAAAGGATACAATTAACTAAATGTTCACAAAATGTGTGATATTATTTACATTACTTGAATATGTATTAAATATATATTATAGTCCTCATTGCACTATTGGTATTTTAATGTGTGTTTTGTTAGTGTTGTGCCTTCTCTTGGTTTGTACTGTTGTGATACATTTCTCAAGCACTCTAGTGTTGTTATTACTGTACGATACTTCTAGGTTTCATAGCTTGCTGGAGAGGGAGGCTAAGGAGGCTTGACTTGTACCTACATGAACAACATACCTACAGTGGGGTAGTGACATGTTCGTGGTGCTTTTAAGAAAGTCTGAGCATATTTCATGTCTTCTCTTAACATACTGCCATTACTGTGTGAAGCTTTACAGCTCCGAGCATAAGACAAAGTTGGAAAGCCATCTAACTGAGAATCGATCATCATTGTATGATAACAACAACAACAACAACAACAATAATAATAATAATAATAATAATAATAGACAACAGAATAATACATTTGGAATCATGTTTTATTAGCAGAGTTTGCATAAGTAGAATAATTAATCTTTATTTATAACTTAAAACAGGATTAGAAGCTGCTCTTATCAAACTGATTGGCTGGTCTCAGTACAGACAGTGTGAGTAAGTTATTAGACTTTAATGATGTTGCTGAAGGTGTATTCACATCAGTAATAGTACAATAATAAAACACTACAGTAAACTGATCATATTTCAAATATCGTGACTTTACAAACATTGTAAATTACATAAGGGAGGAAGGGCCTGCATGCTGAAACTTTCATTATATCCTGACAGTAGTACACAAGACAGATAATCTGTGAAAAAAAATCAGGTTTCTCTGGATCCTCCAAGTGCTCCTAAAGGTATTTGTAAGAATCCACCGGGCCTGGATGAAAACAACCAGTCAGAGCAGAGGAAGATAACTGATTGTTGAGTCTGATTCTCAGGGTGTTAAATACTAACACTTTGGGTTAGTGGCTTGAAGACAGTTGACTGATAGTCATTCCTAGTCGATGTAATAATCAACTAAGAGCCAGAGGAATTCATTTTCACAGATTATCTGTCTCATGTTCTACTGTCAGGATATAGTGAAAGTTTCAGGAAATATGACAAAAAGTTGGTTTCATAAAAGTTACCTCCTGCAGCTTTAATGTTTCTAACACGTCCTCTATTTGCCATTGATGTTGACTGCAATGTTGAATGTAATGTTTCCTAATTTGTAGTTAGACATGGACTGTAATGTTTTTAAATGTGGAGGGAATATTCATACTAAGGTCTTTGTAAATGATATAAACACAGTATAACAAGCAGTCTCACAGCACACAAGGACGTATCATTCTGGGCCTCAACCTGGACTTACCTGCAAGACACATCCCCCACCCCTACCCACTCCATCCAGACGGGGTCTAACACACGTGTATGTCTTTAGAGGGGCTGCGATTGGCCGCGACGCGTCGCTTACTCCCGCCCCTCAGCGTCTACGTCAGGCGCTGTCCGTGGAGCTCCGCAGCGGCTGAAGGAGAGCCGCACTGCTCACTGATGACAACCCTGGACGGGGCGAGGCGGCGATCCCGGTGTGGCCCTCATCCATCATCGCTATGGGTATTACCACAGCGTTCTTTCTGAACCAAGCCCTGATCCCGTACTATCTGAAACCGGTCCACCTAGAGGAGACACGGACTATAAAACACTGCAGTTGAGTGTGTCGCTGCACCAGAGCCCGGCTCAGCCCCTCTCTCCTCCAGTAAAGCTGAGGAGGATGATGATGATGATGATGATGAGAAACATCTAGGCATGAGAAGTGTTTCCCCAGCCGACAGCTCGGACGTTTGCTCGACCCTGATCTGTTTTTCCTGAACCAGGACGATGCCTGCAATGTGTGCGTCCGCAGTGGTGAGTCCATCACATGTTATTTATTCACCTCCCTGCTTGTTTTTAGTCTTTATTCTAAGGACTAGTCCAGCAGGTTCCCCATTTAAAGGGACAGTGCCTGTTTTTTTCCCGTCCCAGACTCAACTTCAAATCAAGTATCCCAAATAATTCCCAAGTTTGATTGCCAGATAAACTGCAAGAAATTCTACTTTTTGTTTTTGTCCTTAGATTTAACACCCATCCCTCTGTGGGTGAACAACACAATAAAGTCTCCAGTAGAAGGATGGAGGAAGAAAGGGCACTCTAGCAGTCTATTGTTTACCCTGTTTCACTATATAACCCTAGTGTGTTGACTGTCAGAGAACATGGTTTGGTTAAACAAAGGGAGAGGAAATAAAATGAATACAACATGAGTTTTTTAAGCAACATTTCAAATGAGAATTGCCATCAGAAATATGAGCTCTTGTGTTGTTTTGATGGAAAAGGACATTTCATTGTCATCATAACTGAAGTGTCAAGGGTGGATGGGTGTTTTTGTGCCAGTAATTGCGATGCCAGGCAGGATTTGCCTCATTCACATGGTGGAGGTGTCTTTCTGTTGAATCCACTGATCTGTTAGTGGGGTTCTGGAGCTGCTGGAGCTCCAGGTCTCACCATCCTCAGTGAGTCAGATTGGGACTCCAGCACAAAGACTTTGCCTTTGTCTCCTGCAGGGACCCTGCAGTTGAGCTAATGGGAGGTTGTTGAAAAGGAAGTCAAAGTCTGCACTTGTGTTTGATGGAATTCAGAGGTTAGAGTTTGGTTTTGTTTTTAAAAACAGGGTGATGGTAAAAGCTGGACATCATGGATTCGCTTTTCAGCTGAAAACATGAATTTGTTGCCATGGTGGATGATAAGTGTGTCAAAAGCTTTAAGTTTAAATTATAAAAAAACTATTGTTTGTTTTTACATTTTTTGGAACTTTTTTCAAGGACTTGAATTTTTTAAACCCTTAAAAAGTACAGAGTAAGAACTACTGAAGTAGAATTTAGAATGGAAACGTGTATTATGAAAACAAATGCCTACGTATAAACTAAACTGCGTCCTCTGTCCACGTCTTTTGCACTCTGTTTGCGTCTTAGCTAGAGCTGAAACAATTAATCGATTTGAAATATATATAATATGTATATTATTAGCCAACTATTTTAAAAATCGAGTAATTGTCATTTTTTAAAGCTAAAAGGTTAAACATTTACTGATTCCAACTTCTTACATATGAGGATTTTCTGCTTATGTTTAATTATTTATGATAAATGTTTTGACATTTTATAGACTAAATGATTAATCGTGAAAATAATCACTCCATATTACATACAAATATAATTGTTGTTTGCAGCCCGAGTCTTAACTTAGAGTGCTGCTCCCTGACCCAAACCCGACGGGTCCAAACAAAGGCTTTCAGGTCAGGTTCAGGTCTGGGTCGTGTTGTTGCATAAAGCTTTGTGCTTTGGTCGGGTTTTACTTTGTATTTTCATATACAATAGAATAATTCATTAATACAGAAGTTTTCTCTATTTGTTTTCTTTATCTATCCACAATGCCCAGTGGGAACAGGGAACGAAACATAGTGTAGCCAGTACATATCATCAACCTGCCAAGATAATGCCCAGTTATAGATGAAATGAAGGAAAAATATAGCTTTAATCCAAATCTGGCAGTACGGAGGTCAGATTTAGTGCAGACCTCCATAGGCCTTTTCCAAAGAAGACACCTTGACATGTGGCACTGGATAAATAATGATGATTGAATTCCATTTAGAGCAGAGCAAACATTAATGTTATTAGTTGTACCCTTTGTGTCAGTGTGTCAGTGTTGTTGTCTGTCATAAAAATATATACTTTTAAAATCTTAGTTGTTGTTAACTTTATATTTTAACCGGATAAAGACCGGATTTTAGTTATAGGACGTCTGGATCCGAAGTTATCAGAGAAACAAGCTGAGCTAGCAGCAGTTCGGTTCGCAGGCCCTCCTGGACGTCCTTTGTCTGCCAAAAAGCATTGGAGAAACGCTGATTTTTAAGGTGGAACTGCTTTATTCATTGTTTTTGCCGGTTTTAATCACTGGGTCTGTTTATTTTGGAGAGGAGGAGACCTCTGTAGATAATTCGGCTCCTGGTAGAAACTTCCTGAACAATGAAGACTGAAGGAATCCTAACCAGGAGAAGCTGACTGCATTGACAGCAATGGTGGTGAAGACAACAACTCCTATGATCCCACACTACTTCACAACGACATCAAACGTCGTTTTTTGTTGTTGTTTTGATGTGAGAGACCCCCTAGTGGCAGGAATGACATATCGAAAGTTTAAGCTGATTCATTTATCTGGTCAATACATTTTAAGTGACATTAAACCACCCTTATATATATAATGTATAACGGGTAGTGCATAGGTTTAGTTTTAAAAAAATGCTTGAAAATACAAAACAAGTCATCACCTTTATCACTCCTGTCACTTTACAAAGAGAATCTGTCCAAAACGTGATCCCAAGACTTCAGAGACCAGTGTTTGCACATTGTATTTTCACAAAGGATGAGCTCAGTTCTTCCCGTGCTCCACTGGCTTCAGTCATTAGCAGAATCTGCACAAATAATCATCATGGCTGCCTATTGTGGCCGATAAATTCAGCGCGACTGAATACAAACAGAGCCTCTTTCTCCAAACCGACAGAGCTGCGACTGCAGTGCAGGATGACTCGAGGACACACGGCAACAGGTGCTGCTGTGCTGCCCGCCGTGTGGGTGAACATGTGTGTATCTGTGTGTGTGTACTTTAATTGGATAGTAATTACAGCTTAATGCGTGCCACACACACCCAACACAAACATCCCACCCACACCCAAGTGTTTGCATGCACACACCTCATTATGTAACACACGTGGTCCCACACACACACACCAGTTTAAACAGTAGCTTGTTTTCTGTCATGACCCACCATGTTCAGTTAATTCATTCCTGAATACCAGCAACCTTTCTCAAAGAATTACAGTATCGAGCCATCTGGAGCTGCTGCTGGACCTCGGTCTACACTCTGTGCTAACGTTTGTCGCTGCTAAGCATCAATCCACAGTCTTGCCACACAGGGAGACAGGGCTCAGTTTGTGTGGCGGTGTTTTGATGCCTTGCAGACAGACAACTCTTCCTTGATGTTGACAGACTGTGCTGTATGTGGTGGCATGCAGCCTGTCTGTCCATGTGCATGTTTGCTTCTTATTTTAGGATGTTGTGAAGAAATGTAAAGACACTCGAAGGTGGCTCTGTGTGTTCTTGTCCCTATCACGTTTCAGGTGGCTGGGTTCTTTTGGCCTTGTGTGGTAGTCATAGGGCTGCTGCATATGGTATTATAAAATCAGTACCAACATTGTGTTTTTCTTAATTCAGTTTAGTCCTGGAGTACAGTAAAGGTCACTGTTTCAGAGCTGCAGGTGTCAGAACTTCCCTGTCTGGAAATAAAAAGTCATGAATCAGCAGTTTTGATAGCAGCATGCACAAAGGCATTTACCCACAAACACAAGCAAGAGGTTAGAGAGCAACCTTTATAACTATTTATAAGCAGCACTCTCTTTGTTAGGAGAGGGGTTTTATGGGAAATGTGGTTTCATTTGACAGCATTAACCGGATGCTAAAGCAAAAGCAACTTTAAAGCTGCACTCCAGAGATTTAGTATTGCACTTCCATAGAGTTGGGAGACTTCCAAAAGAGAAATCGAAGCAGCAGATTTTTAGTCTTCAATATTGATCGAGCTCCAAAAGCATTGGATCCTACGTTTTCCCATAATGCAACTTGATAGTGTGTTTAGTTTGTAAGTCTCCCAGTCTGGTAAAGGCCAATGTCTTTCACACCCAACTCCACACCCCCAGTTTTTGACTCTTTCTGTTACAAAAGTGATATACGTTTTTTCCTAAGATAACCCTGATGACATCACTATGACATCATCAGGGTTATTTTTTCAGACTTGAAAAAGCTCTACCAGAGCCACAGAAGACACCACACAACAACAGGTAGAATTTCCCCATAATAAATAATTGACTTGGACTTAGTGGAGTGTCTCTTTAACCTGCAGTTCCCCTAATGGCCACTAGACTATAACTTAAGGAAAACATCACCTTTATTAAAATCAATGAGAAATCTCCCAATTTCTTTCTTTAAATGCAAAGCTAGGACACTTTTTTAAAATTAAATTTGATTCAGTTGATTTACCTTATATCATGTGTGCAATTAAGAGTAAACACACCTGCATAAACACTCTGCTACACTGCTACATTAATGTACTTTCTCCACTCCTCTGTGACTCTCATACTGGTCAAAACACACATTGTCTGATGCCTGCAGCCCTGGCGGCCCATCACATGCCAAAAATGTGCAGACGGCTGACAGCTTATGCTCATGCACAAAAACAGGGAAGTGCAAAGAGGTTCAGATTCAGCCGTCTGTCACCTAAAAAAAGATCTGACCTATCAGTTGTACTTCTGTTCCGATGCGTACGAGCAAACGGGTTCTTGGGCATGTCTCTGGACGGCCTGGAGGTAGAATTACAGGGTGTTCTGCTCAGCTTGTCAACCAGCAGGCAGGCAGGGAGTCACAAAGTCGGGGGCTTGAGGTGTGTGTTTCGTTGAGTGACTGTGTGTGTGTGTGTGTGTGTGTGTGTGTGTGTGTGTGTGTGTGTGTGGGTGGGTGTGCTCAACAGGAACCTGCTCTGCAGTGGTGCAGTGGTGCCACTCTGGTGCCTATATGATGTAAACAAGAGCTGCCTGACTGACGACTCCACCCTCAGATCTCTTTCACCCCGTGTTCTGTCCTTTTCTCTGCCAGTGAGTCACAGAGGCATCATCTGAAGTCCCCTATGATCCCCTTCCCATTTTCCACTAGCAGATTAAACCCCAGCATAAAGCAAGATGCTGGTTTGTACCACATATTCACAATCTAGGGACTGTTATCAGTAATGTTTTAATAAACAGCATCTGCGTGCACGTTTGAGTGGGTCAA